TTTCTCGCCCTGACCACTGTAATCTGCTTCTCAGTGGTCTTACATGCTCCCAACTTGCACCGTTACAGGCTCATCTTCCTGTCCACCCGCACCGCCCACGTCTCACCCTTCTGTCAGTCCCTACGTTGGCTTCCTGTAAGATATAGGGCTGAATTTAAAATTCTGGTTCTTGCTTTCAAATCTCTACATAATGCTGCTCCAACCTATCTATCCACCCTAATACACAAGTGTGTCCCGTCTAGGCCCTTACGCTCTGCTGAAGACTTACATCTATCTTCTGTCTGTACTCCCACCTCTGATGCTTGCCTTCAAGACTTCTCGAGGGCTGCACTGGTCCTGTGGAACTCACTTCCCTCCTCTGTTAGATGCTCACCCAGTCTCCACTCCTTCAAAAAATCATTAAAAACCCACTTCTTCATAAAATCGTATCAATTAAACTGTTAATAGCTCCCGACTGATTTCTCTCTTGCAACTGTCATTAGTCTAATACCATCCTTACCCTTTGTGTCACTTTACCCCACTCCCTCTAGCATGTAAGGTCATTGAGCAGAGCCCTTAACCCCTCTGTTCCTGTGTGTCCAACTTGTCTGGTTACAACTACATGTTTGTTCATCCACCCACTGTAAAGCGCTGCGGAATTTGTTGGTGCTATATAAATAATAACATGATAATAATATTAATAATAACTGTGCAGTTTTCTTTACAATTAAGGGGACTGCAAGGTAATTCAACCAGGTAATTATGGGGGATATTATTTTAAATAAAACTGTATCTTTCCCAGTGAAACTCAGAGAATGTTTCCAGTGGACAACAGTTTTCACAGCAGATGTCAACAATATGTCTGTGACAATTTTCCTATGAATGCCATGATTTTGTTCAAAATAAAAACTAAAAACTCAGGGGTAAAACCTACCTGTTAAAACATAATGGGGAACGACTGCTTTAAACAGTTGTGCACCTATCATCTTCAGATTGTTCTGTTGTGAGATAGCCCACAATAGCATACGTGGAGGTACAGCTGGCTCGTCATTTAAGATACATCAAACTCTTTTTGTAAACACTGTGAAGGAGTAAAAACAATCACGGATTACACAAAGGGTACATCATTTAAACCTCTGCAGGAGCGCATACTGCAGCTCAAATGTCTGTGCACAATCACTTCCCTCAAAGGTGAAATGATTTAGAAGCCCAGGGAAACTTAATTTTTCTTGATCACCATGCGGAACCTAGATATTTAACGACAGGAATAATTAATTCTTCTGATGTTAATCATCAGGGCTGGGCTGTGCAATTATCAGCCCAGTGCAGCTGGGGCAGGGATCAGACATGAAAAATTAGGAAAATGAATCAGCAATAGGGTGGCAGATTTAATCTGCATCATGAAAACAAAGTTAAAAAAGGAAGATTGAGAGAATTTCAGCTGAAGCTTTTGTGCCAACGAGCAGTGACAGAACTGAAAAATGTTGCCGATGTCCAAAGTGATTGGTAATTACTAAACCATTGAATTTTTTATTGTCAATTTATCATTGCGGTGGAGGTTAAATTTAACATCTTCTTCTAAAGCCATCATTCTAAAGAGAAGCATCGCTCGAAGTCACGTGACCTACAGGAGTCAGTGAAAGGTTAATCAGGTGGCGCATGGGTTTGTGTGTGTTCTGCAGTAATCCTTCCTTTACAGCTAAACAGTCTTTTGCTGCAGGGTAGTATTTTTTTTTATTTCCACCATACTTTCAGAGGCGTACTAAGTTAATTAGCAACCTCTTGTTACACTTGATATTTAAAGTAATATTTTGCAACAATGCTACAGTACGTCAAATTTCAAACAGCCTACCCGGCTTCTTTACCATCAATTTAATTTTCTTTCTCGTGCACAATTACATGTTTTGTGAATTATTAAAATGGTAATTCTCAATACAAAGTAATCATAAAAAAATAGAATAGTTTCATAAAAACGATAAGTTCTAAGCTGATGCAGCTGCATGTCCTCCATTGTTCGACTGCACCTCAGACTTGTTTTTTGAGCAGGGCGTACCATTATTTAGTAGAAAGGGTACATTTTCTGTGCAAAGCCCAAAGGATCTTCGAGGGATACTTTGCCAGAGAATCAATGTATGAATTAATTGCTGCAATCTGTTATCTGCATCCCCCCTTTAAAAAAAACATGAATCAACCTTTTACGTGGTGGAGACGAAGGGGCAAAAGACAAAGCCCTGTGATCCTGGACATGCTACTGTGTAGATCGCAAAATGTGTGCGTCCACTCAGCAACAAAGACACCTCTTGGGATATCTTGGCTAGTTCCATCAGGATTCTCAGGCATTGAATTATTATCTCTGAATACAAAAGCTCGTCACGTGACTTGAGGCTCACCAGCAGCTGAGCTGTTTTTCTGAAATCCTTCGTATCTATTGTAAAACATAATTAGACTTGAAATTTTGAAAAATTAGCTGCAGAGTGACCTCTGATTGTCTTCATAAACAAAACATAAATACATCCTTCTTTTCTGAAAATTGGTGATTTAGCCTAACACCTTTTATTATTTTTTTCCCCTTAGCTTAAAGCATGAATTGTGCAATGCAAACATATTATTTAGAAATAAAATAGATTATGAATTTATGAGTTCGTAAATTGTGTAATCCATTAAATCGCATCTCTACTTCTGAAACAATTAGTGAGTAATTATTCATACAAAATGCGAAACAATTATTTGTAGTGTGGAAAGGCATATATATATTTTTTAATGTTAGCTGAGGTGTGTTTCCCTTTCCAATAAATGTGTTAAATATACTGTTAAATATTATTAAACCTGCATTCTTAAAGCAAGTCCACAACACAGATTCTGTGATATACATACCAGTACACAAGTGTCTTAAAAAAATGACTAAGCTATTAATTAATAAATCACCTATTTAATATAATCTGGCTTTTTGCTGGATCCTTAGTACAAGGTTGAAGAAAAATGATTTGCATTAAAGTAGGTGTAACATCCGCTGAAGGGAATGTATATAACTGCAGCACATACCAGCAATTCCCTTGCTCAGTCTGAAAATTAAAAATTAGTAATGTGGGGGAGAGTTACACATTCCAGTAAACCCATGGTGGGCATCATGAGAGTTCTCTCACTCTCTCAAACAAAACTTAATATAAGATACTATGTTACACAGATATAGGTGAGGAGAAACTCAAGGCATATACACTAAGTATAGATAGTAACTAATACATCCTACATACTATGAATCCTCCCAGAGGAAACCGAAAAAGTGGAGCTCTTTGTAAATGTTTGACCAAATGGGGAATCTGACAAAGTTCAATGCGAGCAAGAGTAAAAAAAATCAACATTTTATTTTTTCTGCGGTTTGTTAAAATTACGTTTTCCAGTTCTTGTCCCAGTAAGTATCACAAATAAATAGACTTACTGGATTATACATTGTGTACACAACTAAAAGGATATTAACTGTTACCATAAAAGGGGTGGTTGGGTATTTCTCAATATTGTACAGAAGACAATAGTGGGTAGGTAAACTAATGGTCCATTTGGCAATTTGGACCAGGTTTTTGAGGACCCCATACGCATTCCAAAAAAGGGAGGTGATCTTTCTCTCTCTAATCGCGGCGATCGCTGGATTAATGGTGCTCCGGTATGCCTCTGTATTAGAGGCATACCGGGAGCACCCGGTCAGGCTGCCCAGCATATGTGCTCTGTATACTTACCTTCCGGCTCCCTGCACTTCTGGGTTCTGTGTGAAGTGCAGGGAGCCGGAACAGTGCAGATCCTGCCCCCTGCTGTAAAAAAAATAAAGTTTATTTAAAGTCCCACCCCCCCCCTTTACCCATTTTAATAAAAAATTAACCCCTTCCCTGCCAATTGATCACTGACTACAGTGATCAATTGGCAGGGATTGCATTTTACTATGATCTGATTTTTTAATAAAAAATATTTTAAAATGATATATTTAGCTAGCTGGGGTGGGTGGAAGTTAGTGGGGAATTGGGGAATTTGGCGTTAGGCTAACTAGGGGTTAACGTTAAAAAAAGTTTTAAAATAAACTTTAAAAAGTTAAAAATTAAGTTTAAAAAAAGTTTTAATAACTATAAGTAAAAAAAAAAAACTCTTTACCTAGTCCGAATAAAAATTAACCCCTTCACTGCCAGTCGATCACTGCCTACAGCGATCAAATACAGATCACAGTATTATACTGTGATCTAATTTTTTTTAACCCCTGAGGATTAACTTTTATTTATTTTTTAACCCTCAGGGGTTCAATTTATTTAATTAATTAATTTAAATATTTTATAACTATATATTTTGCTAGCTGGGGTGGGTGGGAGTTATGGGAAAATGGGGAATTTACAGTTAGTGCTGCTTACTGCTAGTTAGGGGTTAATGGTAAAAAATAAAGCTCAGAAAAATGTTAAATCTGTAAAAAAGTTTTAAGAAAGTTTAGGAAAGTTTAAAAAAATGAATAAGCAAAACAAAAGTTTAAAAACTAGTTTTTAAAAGTAAAAAAGTTAAAAAAGTTAAAAAATACATTTTAAAAATGCTCATTACCACTACACCTGGAACAAACTAGAGAAAAAATTATCCCACGCCAAGGTTCAAGATATGCCTTTTGAATTACCCCAGGGTGTATTCTTTAATAAATAGTATGTGTTTGTGGGGAAGTTTCAATAACCAACCGTCTAAAACTACTCCAAATTGGAACATGGACACAGTGTAGAACTTCAAAGTTAGAAAAAAACTGAATAGCTGCGTCTCAAATGCGCCCCTTCAACATCCACATATACCTGGCAATGGTACATACGGGGGTATATGCCTTTTGAAATACCCTGGGGTGTCTACTTTAAGAAATGGTAGGCCTTTGTGGGGTAGTTTGAATTTAAAACCTGCGAAGATGCTTGGAAATTGCACAGAGGCCCAGCGTCAAAATTCAAAGTTTGGTAAAACAGGATATGGCTTGGTCTCCTATATGGCACTGTAGCTTCACGAAATAGTGCCAAAGACATTCATTGGGGGTGTCTTTTTACTCAGAAGACTTAGCTGAGCATAATTTGGGAGGTTTGAACTTAGTGGCACATATGAAATATACAAAACGCCCAGCAAAAATGCAATCCGTATGTAAAAAAATGCACAAAATTATTTTTTACCACATACTTTGGCATATATTGGTGAAAAAATGGGGGCATGTTAAGGCACAATATGCACCTTATAAGATACCCTGGAGTGTCTATTTTTACAAATGGTAGGCCTTTGTGGGTTTTTTTTGAACAGTCAAACTGTTATAATACCCCAAATGGAAGCTAAGGCTCATTAAATCCATCTCTCAAAATTCTACTGTGAATACTGAAAAGGACAGGTCTCCTATATGGCACTGTAGCTTCACGAAATAGTGCTAAAGACATACAATAGGGGTGTCCTTGTACTAGTGGCACATATGAAATATACAAAACGCCAAGCAAAAATGCAATCCATATGTAAAAAATGTACAAAATTATTTTTTACCACATACTTTGGCATATATTGGTGAAAAAATGGGGGCATGTTAAGGCACAATATGCACCTTATGAGATACCCTGGAGTGTCTACTTTTACAAATGGTAGGCCTTTGTGGGGGGTTTTGAACAGTCAAACTGTTATAATACCCCAAATGGAAGCATAGGCTCATTAAATCCATCTCTCAAAATTCTACTGTGAATACTGAAAAGGACAGGCACTGTATGGCACTCTAGCTTCACGAAATAGTGCCAAAGACATACAATGAGGGTGTCATTTTACTCAGCAGATGTAACTGAACACAAAATAAAACTTTGTACAGGAATAGCACACACCAACGTTACAAAATATACATGAGAATTTCTTTGTTATAAGTTTGTGTGCCAAAAACCAAAAAAAACACAATTTTACTCCAATATTTAGCAGAGGTTGGCGGTGAAATGGCTACGTAGAAAGTGTCAAAACAACCTTAGGTAAATAGCCCATGATGTCTACTTTATATAAATATATACTTTTGTGTGGCAATTTTGTTTTCTTTTATGGCTATTAAGCTTACAAGACAAACATACCAAATTCTAAAATCGCTCCACATTAAAAGTCTATTTTACTCCTTGTACTTTGTGACCTGTAACTACCAAAAAAAACTTAAAATTCCAGACACATTATATATTCTGTAAATCAGAACAACTAAATTAATTTATTTTTAATTACTTTTCTTAACCTGCACTAATTATGCACACATTATTATTGCAAAAACTGTAAAAAAACCCACAAAATTTTCATTTTTTTAACATTTGTCTGTATTTTTTTATAATAAATAAGCATTTATATATATGTGTGTTACATCAAATTAAAGCCCTTTCTGTCCTTTAAAAAATGATGTATAATATGTGTTGGTGCAACAAATTAGTAAAATGCAAATTGCAGTTGAACGCAAACAGCAAAAAATGAAAAAAATGCTGTCATTAAGTGAAAGACAAGCTTTTGAAGCTCTGTCCTTAAGGGGTTAAAGACAAGCAGCCCACTATTTGGGCCGGGGCCAGATAGGGGGTGTGTCATGTCACCACCCTTGACACGCACACCCCCTCCCCCCACCAAAGGATGTTAATGTGATGCTTCTCCAGCGCATCCAGTGCTCTTGGATGAAGTAAATGCCATGTGATTGGGGTTGTGGGGGGTGAAGTTTATGCAACGTAAGAATGCGCTGCGCTTGCTGGCGATTTGTCTTTGGTGTCCTCAATAGTGGGATACCAGAGATCAAAACAGGTACTGGGCTGTTAAAGTGTGTTGTGCATGTGTGGGGATGTTCCCTGTGGTGTTGTATATCTTTGGAGGTTGCATGTGTGTAGAGCAGACTATTTGTGTTGTATTGTGTGTGTAAAGGGGTCTGTTTGTGGCGTACTGCATGTGGCTAGGGGCTGTAGTGTGTGTGTTTCTGGGTTGTAAAGTTTGTGCATGTGTGTGTGTATTTATATAGGGCCTGTGGAGTGTGTGGGCCTAGGGGATGTAGTATGTACTGTGTGTTTGTGAGTTTATCTAGGGGCTCTTGTGTGTGTATGCATATAGGAGCTGTAGAGCACATGTGTATAGCTGCGGTAATGTATGCATAGGTGGTGTAGTGTGTAAACGGGGGTGCTGAATATGTATTTATAGGGGATATAAATTAGTGAGTTCATATGCAGGGGGTGTAATGTGTGTGTTTATTGGGGTATAACGTATGAGAGTGCAGGGAGTGTAGTGTATGTTTAGGTAAAGAGTGTGTTTACTGTGTGTATGTGAATGCCGGGGGTATAGTGTGTATATAAGGGGTATGGAGTGTGTGTAGTGTGTTTATGTGTAAGTGCAGGAGGTGTAGTGTGGATATAGGTGTATAGAGTGTGAGTTGTGTGTTAATGCAGGGGCTGTAGTGTGTATATAGAGGTATGATTGTGTGCAGTGTGTTTGTGTGTTAGTGCAGGGGGTGCAGTGTGTGTGTGTGTGTTGGTACAGGGTGTGCTGTGTGTGTAGTGTGTTAGTGCAGGGGAACAGTATGTTTGTGTGTTTGTGCAGTGTGTGCAGTGTGTGTAGTGTGTTTGTGCGTTAGTGCCGGGGGTGCAGTGTGTTTGTGTGTTAGTGCAGGGGGTGCAGTGTGTGTAGTGTGTCAGTGCAGGGGGTGCAGTGTGTGTAGTGTGTTTGTATGTGTAGTGTGTTTGTGTGTGTATGTGAGGGGTGTGTATATAGTGGATATAGCCTTAAATTATTAAGTTAATAATCAAACAAAAAAAAGTAAAAAAAAAAATGTACTACCCCTTTGCTGGGGGAGAGGGAGCATTCATATACCTGGTGGTCCAGTGAGAGGGGCTACGCCACACACTGATGCCTGGTGGTCCAGCCAGCAGGTAATTTAGTCTGTACCTCACAGGTTACAGACCATGTCTCGCTACCTCTCACGAGCACCAGTTTTTCAGAGCATTGCTGCGGGTTACCATGGCAACGCTCTGATAATCACAGAACTCGCAAGAGGGAGAGAAGGAAGCTTCTCTGCGTGCATGGAGGGTGACAGGCTCACTGCCCAATTTCCCCTCTGGCTCATGATGGGACAGAACTCCATCTTGGGGCCCGTGCTGCCCTGCATGGGCTGGCAGGAGATATCTCTTGATCTTTCCTGCTGGCCTCAGCCCATGGCCATCACAGCCCACCGGGCATATGCCCGGTTTGCCCGATGGCCAGTCCTGGCCTGCTGGGGGCAGAGATCAATAAATTAAACAATTAAAATATAAAAAATTTAAAATGTGACTTTTCTAAATGCTTTATTTTGTTTGAAATTAAGTAGACCAGGTCTTAACATTTTACATGCAGTATTGTTGTACTGTTTTGTTTGGTTGAATTCAGCTGTTTTTCATTGGATGGCATCCAAAACAGCAACTAATTAAGAATCAATTGTAGACCATTAGTAATTGGAATTAGCAAATCCAGGTTCCATATTTCAAGAGTACTTGCCGTAATGAAAGTAGTTGTGGAATTAGAAAAGTCAAACAGATTGAAGATAGTCGGCTGGAACGTTTTAAGCAGCACAAAACGAGTGAAGGTACACGCAAAGATGCTGAACTTGAGCCCTCACTAATTGATCTACTTATCGTTCTTGAGGAAAGTAAAAAATTAGTGCAGGTACACAGTATTCCTTCATGTCACAGTAGCTATTTATGGTCATGAAAAGTGCTAAATGCTCGTTGATTAATCTTTTTTTCTGCTGTAAATACATTTCGAATTTGTAAGCTCTTGAATGGCAGAAAGGTATCTATTACCCTATAACAGCGTTGAACACAACATAAAATTTACAGAGATTTACAGATTTTATAAGAGTACATTCTTCATAGAATTCTCCCTTGTCTTTTAAAGCATTAAGTGTTTTTACATTCTATTCAATGAGATAAAACCTCCTATAAATCGTTTCATTGCTCTGTGTGCAAATTTCCTAGAGGTTTTGCACCATGTAATTATTTGAGAAGGAGCCTTTGTTAACAATGAAAGCTGCCTCAAAAGATGTAAAATCTTTGCGTGGGAAATATAAGCTTTAAAACATTGTTCAACAAAAATTCCAGTCAACCACGTGTGTACATTAGGTCCCCAACGTTGACTAACATCGGGGGAGGAGCAGCAGAGGGCGTAGCTTGATCCAGTGCCGAGGAACATCGAAGCCGTGTTCAGGTAAGTGATGGAAGGGTTTGTAATACTTTATGTGCTACGGGGGGTGGGGGGGAGGGGGGAACATGATCAAGGTGGGCACTATAGGGTACTATAATGCTACGAATACACTATAGTTTCCCTTTATTGACAGAACTGGTGCTAGATTTGCCAGTAAAAACAGGGTGATCTGATCCGCCATATTTACAGAGATACATATAATTTTGTCATATTAATGAAAATGCATGGAAAAGGTTGACCTGCAGAGTATAAAATGCATATTCTGCAGGATTCTTCATTGCATAATTGCTTCAACTTTCAAACCTTTTTCTGAATTCTACATACTGCAGGGGTACCCTTTTCATGTGCTGCCCATCAATATGTATATATGATATGTGTCCCTGAAAACATGGTGGATCTGGTCACCCTATAAAGAGTCAACTGCTGCCTAGAGAATGCTGTCTACTATGGGTACCTACCTTAACTACAAATGTGCATTTTTTCCTTTCTAGTGATATTTTAATACAATTTGTCATGTATTTTTTGCAGATGTGATGAGCAAGAGATCTATTTCTTGAATGAGATTTATCTCTTGTGAGTCCTTTTCAATTATAGAGAAAGCAAAAGAGAAGGGATTTAATGGGGGTGAGAGTGTAACGGTGACGGGACATTCTGTGACAATAGGCACCTGAGATGTAAATGGTGATCTCCACTCACCCCAGGTGGCCCCTGCTTCTGAATTTTCAGCTGACGCTCTCAACCAAGACCTGGCTTGGAAAAGGTATGTTTCTTTCTAAGCTAGTTTTGTGAATGAGGAGTCACTTATTGGATGCGAGTGTCCGCTGACCGGTCTCACCCAATCAGCGGTGTCCCTGTCAGGCGACTTTCTGCACTTCCTGAATCTGAAAATTCAGAAGCTGGATGCCCCCTAGGGGGGAGTGGACATCGCCACTGGAGACAACTTTGGGGTTATACCATTCAAAACTATTTAACCCCTTGAGGTAAGATTAAATAAGGTTGTTTTGGTGCCTGGAGTGTCCCTTTAAGGCCAAAATATACAAATTGGAAAAAAATTCTAAGTCATCAATGCTTGCAGTTTTTTTACTTTTGCCTAAACTTTGAAATTCAGTTTGAATTCATTTTAAATTATCGCTTTAGTAATTAACCCTGTCTATGTCATTTATTAAACTATCTCACTTGTATTTTTTACAAGCTCCCCCAATGTAACTATGTAAAAAAAACACAATGAACACATACATGAAAACACGATGTATGCCTTATATAACAAAAATTAAAAAAATAAAATTAAGATAATAATAGTATATATATAAAAACATAGACTATTAAAGAATTACAACATACTCATATACTTGTGCACGTTGAAAATTTTTGTTCTTATTTAGAAATCTCAATTCCTAAGG